GATTTGATTGAACAGGGTTTGCAGTAATCAGACCTGGCTTTGTCAAGTCCAGTTGAACCTTAAAATGAATGCAGTTTCATAGATTTGCGGCATTAGTAACTATGGAGGCAAATACATTTTCACACAAGCCCAGTTGTATTAGAAATCTTTTTTTTTTTTTTGCATTAATAAATAACAGTATCATTCAAAACAGTATTTTGAAGTGTATACTTTGTATGTTACCTTGTGTCACGAGATGGAGGTGCAGACAGAAGCAAGTGAAGGCATGGCGGATTAATAAAACAACAGGATAAAGTCTACAGGATAAAGTCTACAGGATAAAGCAGAATTCAATAATCATAAACATTCAGAGGTCAGACGATCAGGCAAACAGTACAAACAAGGCAGGGCGAGGTCATAAACATGAACAAAGTCAAAAAACAGAATAAACAGACACAGTATAAAGTATTTGTATAGAGAGAGACATTAGGCAAGTGAGTAAGTAAGTAAGTAAGTAAGTAAAATGTATTTGTATAGCACGTTTCACACAGCAAAGCTGACTAAAGTGCTGAACAGAGTAAGGGAAGTAAAATAGATACAGAATAAGACCAAAATAAACAGACAGTAGACAATAGTAAAAATTATTAATAATAATAATAATAAAAAAGTGAGGAAATGCTTCACAACATAATGAGTGAATGAGTCGCTTAAAAGGAGTAGTGTGTGTGATTGGAAACAGGTGTCTCTAATTAGAAGTCTGAGGATGGTGAAGGTATCCGAGTGCACACGTGTGTGTTTGGGAAGTGTAGTTGTCATTGCCTATGTTTGCAGTTCGTGGTGCATTCTGGGAAATGAAGTTGTTGGTTTATGGAGGCAAACAATATGTAAATATCAGGTTTTAACAGGTATAATTTTTCTGACTATATAACATACACTGGGAATTAAATATAAAGAAATCATACGTATAATTCACCAAATGATGTAGAAGTATGTGCATTTACTTTCTCACCTTCCCTAAGCTGCCTGCTGCAGAGATCAGATTAAGCCAATACACAGCCATTTCATCAAACAGGCTGTAGTCTGTCTAAAGAAGCCTTAACTTGCAGCTTGCTAGGCAAGCTTTTCTAATACAGTTATGTGTCATAGTGAAACAAACATAAGTCTAATGGATTCCGTTTGTAAACATCCGAAATACCAGCTGTCAAATTATCCTGGATGCACTTGCACCACTGCTGACAGTGTAAAGATTCCAGTGAGCAAATTCCTCTCAAATCTCAACAAAATGAGGAAATTTAACTTGGAACAAAACGCAATAGTGATTATTTCAGCACTGATGTAAAGATAGACAGTGGTCAGTCAAGTCAGTAGTGACAGTTTGCCCCCTCTTCCTCACATTTCCTAGTACCTTTTATAACATATTTCATTTATTAGATATTCAATTCAATATAAATATAAAGAAAATGACTAGTTGGCAATCAGTGTGTTGTTGAGTTGTATTATCATTGTTGTTGTTGTTGTTGCTGTTGTTATAAAGCAGTGAGATATCTTCCTACTTCTGCTTTTCTAGCCAGCCCATTAAACTGATTTTCATACACCCAGCCATCGTGTAATGTATTTGACAGCAGGGTGTGGCATGCTGCTATTTCCAGTCAATTGGTATTTACTGTTAATAAGAAATTTGAATTGCATTTGGCACTGGTGTTGATTCAGTGTTAGTTCTGATTAAATATCCCAGCCTCCTGTCTGTAACAGTTGGGTTGCATCAGTTGTCTATGCAATATGTGTCTCCTGAGGTCCACCTTACCTCCATCTGCCAATTCCATTACTGCCAGCAGGCTTATTCAGGCAGAATACTGTAATCATTACTTGCTTCTTTAGCTTCCTCTTCTTATTTTCCTTTAAACTATACAATCTGATACCTCATATAAGTTGGTATTTCCTTTTCTAGATATTTGATAGGGTAATTTCTGTTGGCAAAATATACTAGCATACATCATTTAAATAAAACAAGTAACTAAGATGTACAAAAATAAATAAATAAATAAAAATAATAATAATCCTAGAAAGGTAAAGTTTTCAAATACAATTATCCTGTTGAAGTCATGTGCTCAAGTTGAATACTGATATATTCTTTTTAGTGTACTGTAGATGTTGAACTAGACGCAGACTGACAAGCGCTTCATAATGACTAAAGACAGCCGAGTTATCTATCTCCAATGAACATTTCTGGAGTATCAGAAACAGGGCCAGCTGGTGTAAATAGGCTAGCAGGGATAAGCTTGCTAAGCCTGTTAATAAGGGTTTAACTTTCATAGAACCAAGAACAACACAAACAGTGGTCATAGGTAAAGAAATACACTATGCTAGATCAGTGATGAAATGGATTAATTGAATTTTCAAATGCATGTGCATTAAAAATTTTAATATCTGGTCTAAGGTGTCTAGTATAACTGTACACACAGATGATTGATGATTGGATAGGGCATATATTTCGATTCTCAAAGCCATAACCATGAACAGAATTATAATTATTTTAATTTTTTCTAGATGAACTGAGTGTTTTTCTGCTAAGGGGACAGGACAACTTCACCGCATCAAAGGGACGATGGACGGGGCCAGGTACTGTCAAATCTTGGGTGAGAACCTCCTTCCCTCAGCCAGGGCATTGAAAATTAAAAGTAATTACTAAGTCATTACCAAGTACTAAGTCATGTTTTGCAGAGGGGTCAAATACTTATTTCCCTCATTAAAATGCAAATCAATTTATAACATTTTTGACGTGTTTTTCAGGATTTTTTTGTTGTTATTCTGTCTCTCACTGTTCAAATAAATCTACCATTAAAATTATAAACTGATCATTTCTTTGTTAGTGGGCAAATGTACAAAATCAGCAGGGGTTCAAATACTTTTTTTTCCCCTCACTGTATATACTGCAACTTTCTATTATGTATACCTAGGACTACATTTCCTGAATTTGTAGCCCTGATAACTCCTGTATACGTGCCTTTTGTTCAGGCTCACACCCAACTTTTCGATTTCTCTTCAGCTTGTGCATCTTCAATGACTTCAGGAACATGGTGTGCCAATATCTTATCAAATAAAGCAATTGTGGCTCCTCACCACAGTAGTGGCAATGAAATGGGACCATCTTGGCACAGAGGAGAATAATTTATTTGCAATGTAAGTGGCCCCTGTGGTTCTCACTGACAGAACGGACTGTACCACATGCCTTTCCCAATGAACAGGCATGTCTGAAATCTCTGTTTTGGACATTCACGACAGCTTTTCATCGTCTTATCCTGAGAGATCCCATGTCAAATGTTCTACCTCAGGCTCAAGGGATGCTGTGGCACCTAATTCCAGCAACAGGAAAATGGTGCCTTGTTGGATATGGTGTGATAAATAGAGATGTTCAACCACACTACTATACTGTACTGTACTATACATATAAGATTCTAGGTTCAACTGTTCACAATCAAAAAACTAAACAAAACAATCAAACAAAAAAATTCAGTGAGGTCCATATGTATTTGGACAGTGACACAATTTTAATATTTTTGCCACTGCACACTGCCACAATGATTTGAATTGAATAAATCAAAATTAGATTGATGTGTACATTTATTAATTATAGGGGTTAAACAAAAATATTAACCATTTTGGAATTACAGGGGTCCATGTCCATGGGTTCCAGATTTCGAGCAGCCAAGTATTAAAAAAAATCCTAATATTTATTATGTTGGTTTGTCCAATTACTTTTGAGCTTGTGAAAATTTAGGGGTTCCATAAATGGCTGTAATTCCTAATTGGTTAAAGTAATGTTTTTTGTTAAAAATGGAGGAATGAATTAAATGAAAGCTGAAAGTCTACACTTCAGTCACATCTTGACTGCTTTATTTCACAACCGTTGTGGTGGTGTGTAGAGGCAAAAATAAGAAAACTGTATCACTCCCCAAATACTTATGGACCTAATTGTACACGGACACAATTTTCACTACATGTGCAGTGGCCATGACCATATCCTGTGGATCCCAACCCGGTCCACTCAGGGAGTAGTACTATCACGGCCTTTATTTTAAAGCTCATCCACTGCAGACATTTTTCCAACTGCTTTTTGGCTATTACCACATACAACCTTTGTGCATTATTACAGTCTACAAACTGTGAGCTCTTTTATGGCGTTTGAATGTTTTGCAGTCAGCACAGCAGAAAGACTATGATGAGCTTTTCCTTTTGCTTGCCAATATATAGACATGGGGAGCAAAGCAAAACAAAAGAAATTGAACGTATGCATTGAGGAGGTTTACCAAGGCAAAAGCTATTTTTCAGTTCAGCATGTGATTAAGCCATGAGTGTTGCAAGTTCAGAAGTTCAAACTCTCTCTCTCTCTCTCTCTCTGCTCTCTTTCTCTCACTCTCACTCTCTCTCTCTCTCTCTCTCCCTCTCTCTCTCTCTATCAAAAAATAAATAGTCCGAGGTTAAAAAACACATTACTGCTCAAAGACAAAATATGAGTGTCATGGATGGGTCAATGATATACCACAGCTCTTTCTTTCTTTGCTTGAGTAAAAAAATCACCTCCTTGACTGAGGAAAGCCTCTCTGTAATTGTATACCCCTTAAAACCTGTTTCTGACAGTCATTTCAGTGGCTTAACGCTTTCACTTTATAGCACTTAGCCTGTCTTAGCCTGAAGCAGGAACCAAAAGTTAGTTATTTACTGCCCTGGCAGCTGCAATTTATTTCCACAGAAACACATTATATCATTATTCCCTGATACTTGCAATATCATAGAGAAACAGAAAAGTATTGAAGACAGCTAATTTTTTTTTGTTTGTTTGTTTCATATTTCCGTCACTCTTGAGTGTGCACAAATATACATCAAAGTTGGGGCTTTTTTAACACCTGTATTGACAAAGGTATGGCATTTGTGTAAGGGGTATAGTAGCAGGGACAGCGAGTGTTCTGAAAGCAAGAATGCTGCCCATTATTATTGATCTTTTGCTAAATACAGCTTAGTGGGGTCATAGTGGTTTAGTGGTTATCACACTTGGTTCACACCTCCAGGGTTGTGGGTTTGATTCCCGCCTCCAGCCTGTGGAGTTTGCATATTTCTTCCAAGTACTCTGATTTTCTCCCTGAGTCTAAAGATATGCATTGTAGGTTGATTGGCATCTCTAAACCGTAGTGTGTATGTGTGTGTGTGTCTGAGAGATTGTGCCCTGTGAATGGTTGGCACCCCATGCAGGGTGTCCCCAGTCCTGTGCACCAAGTCCCCTAGGATATGCTCCCTGTGAGCCTGTGTAGGGTAAGTGTTACAGAAAATGGATGAATAGATACAGCTTAGTGTTTATAGGGATTTAACCCAAATGTGAATACTCTATTTTGGAATGAACATAGTATGTGTTCTAAAGAGATACACATACAGATACAAATAGGAGGTACACCATTTTCTTAGGTCTACTGTCTTACCTGCAAACCCCCTTGACCCCTTTCTTAAACTCTGCCTTACTCAGCTCCCAAAAAAAAACACATTTCTACAATAATTATTTGCAAATGTCTCAGAAATTCAGAAAATGCCACCCCATATAGACCACACACTGTGCAGAGGGCAGCAAATCTGTTTTGGTTTTTCACCGTTCTTCATTGTAATTAAATGAAAATCTTACTGGAAAAACATACAGGTATTATAATGAAATGTTGCTTAAAGCACTCCATTTCGATTAGCGTTGTGTTCCAGGTTTGTGGTAGTAGTTTTTGCTTTGTTTTTTTCTTCTACATCTTTCTGAAATGTATCAAACCCCCAAATTGATGTAAATCAGATAAAATATGATTATGTGGCTATTATTGTCGACTATAATTAATAGTTCCGCGATTTAGGGAAGAGATAGATGTTTTGAAAGACAGTTCCCTAGGTTACGCTGTCATTTGAGATAGGAAGCTTGACAGAAAGTTCCACAGGGAGTCAGTTATGAACTCAAGTAATACAGCTCTGGTTGAGGAACTGTAAAGTTATGTTCTACAAATTGTTATTTGTCGTGATATATTTTGTGAATGAAAAATGACTGCAGATATTTGGTGTACTAAACAGATATAGATAGTGGTATTGTGTTACAGCCCTAGTGTTTAAGGATCACTGCCCTTGACCATACCAGAGAATTTTGAGTTTATGGTTGAGGGCTTGCAGAGATTTACAGGGAGTGAGCTTCAGGGATAGCAGCACTGCTGAACTGTGCCACAGTTAAATCCTTCTACACAGCCCTTAAACCCCCAATTTCTCCAGGGACACCTGACAGGCTGACCCTCAACCAGTGATGTAGTTAACCAGATGATGCTTGACTAAAGATGAGTCTTGGACTAAAGTCTGACACAGTTTCACTTATCTATGACTCAAAACTTGACTTGGAGTTTAACATTTGGATTTTGAATGAATTATCTGTGACTTGAGCTCTGCCTTGAGACTTAACTTAACTTGACAAACTTGACTCAGCTATAACGCTTGCCTTGTATCCTAGCTCTCTTTTTGTACCAGAAGCAGTAGCAGTTCCCAAATTCTTTACCAAAGTAAAAGTGCAATTATTCATCTAAATAAATACTCTGAGATAAACACAGCTTCAAAGTCTTCACTCAAATTAAAGCAGAAATGTTCAAACTCTTACACTTACATCCAGTATGAAAGTAAATGTACAAGAACGATTTACATCACACACTGATTTGAGTTAGCGATTGTAAATTCGTGCCTCTTTCACCAAAAGAACTGAATAACATTGGAAAACTATAGCGAAGGTTAACTAACAGCTTTATTCATAATATCTGAAATATCAGCATGATAATATCTCTGATAATACTGTACAAGGTAGCTGAATGCTAGTTTTGATATGCTAGGAATTTAGATCACTGAAGTTGTCTGATGCTAAAATTTCAACTTATGACAATACAGAAAAATGTAGTGATATAAAAGGTAGATTTTACAGTATTACTGTAGGTGAAAGAAAAATTTAAGTAGAATACAGATAGCAGACTTACATACAGTAACAAACTGGCTGTAGGGTCCCTTCAAGTAAGGATCATGGAACACCCCTGCAATACACATTTTGATGTGTTTCTTGCTACCAATTCACTTAATTAGTTAAATTAGCAGCAAGGAACACACCAAAATCTGCAGAGATGTGGTTTTCCTGGGCCAGGATTGAGAAACTGAAATAAACCACTGGAATTTCCGACATGATGTCACATCCCAAACCATTCTTCCAATAACATAAGTGAAACCTCAAGATGTCATGCATTCCTCAACTGTAATAGTTTCACTGTCAAGCTACGGTTAGATGGTGGGATCAGTGTTCAGATGGCTGAGATGAAACAAATCCTGATGGCAAGCAAAAGGAATAGGTTTTCTGTAAATACCTCTGTGTTTTACTGAGCAACCAAGGCCTGCAATGTGAAGGGATAAGGTTGGATTCTGCTTTCATCTCTAAACCTGAGCGCTTTTTTTCTTTTTCTTTTTCTACAGATAACACAGTCATATTTGAGGCAGTGGTGACATTTTTAGAGACTGTGCTACAAAAAAAAAAGAAGAACAAAAATAGAAAAGAAAGAAAACTCTCCCACAGAAAATCGTGAACATTTATCATCCCACTGAGCCATTGAGTTATACATAATTTTGTGAGCAGACTTCCATCATTAAATCATACACTAAATACATATGACACTGCAATTTTATTTTTCTGATGTTAAAACAGCCATATGAAAAAAACAAGTATACCCCCGGGAAATCGTTGAGTTTTTTACATATTTGGACTAGCAAACATTCGATCCTCCTTGAAACAGTGCCTATAACGTTGATACTGTACATTCTATCAAATGACATTTTTTAGTAATTTTTACAATTTAATTGAACAAAATACAGATCAGTCACAAAGAAAATGTAAATACCCTTCTAAATGTATCACACCTACACATCCATAAAAATAGAACGAGGTGTTCAGGAGTAGGTGTCAGTGATTAGAACCTGCTTAGGTAGAGCAGGTGGAACCTGTCTTATTTGTACTCCTCTCATATCTAGTGTCTGGTATCCCTTTTAGGCTCACTTTGCTATTGCTATTGTACACTTTTCTGTTAGTGCTGTTTGTGGTTATACCTATTAAGTCCTTGTATGCAGTGTGTTGGTAGGATAGTAGACTAAATGTTCTTTGTTTGTATTGTGTTTGTCAAGTGTGTAGCGGCATACTGTCCTGTCTTCTCCATTCACATTGTGTGTATGAGGCTGGGAATGAGGGAACAGGAGAGTACGTCACTCGACCTACATGGTCTTTGTATTAAACACACTAGGTTTAGGTAAGAGTGCCACCTTGTTTGTTTTGTCATCTGAGTAGTCAGAGTAGTTTAGCTAAGGTGTTTTGTATGCTGAAGACTTTTCTACCTTTTATTTTGATAGTTAGTGTAGCTGATAAACTCTAATTAGCTGCGTTTTGTTTTATTTAGCTATTTTCTTTGGCACGTTTCGTGCTCACCTTCCCATCTCATTAGTGTTAGTGTATTGTGAGGGTTTTGTTATGTGTTCTTTGTAAATAATGTAAATATTGGTTTATTTTCACCTTTGGCACTATACACCAGGACTCTTTCTAGAGCTGGCCACCCGGCCAAACTGAGCGATCGGGGGAGAAGGGCCTTAGTAGAGGAGGTGACAAAAAACCTGATGGTCACTCTGACAGAGCTCCAGTGTGTCTCTGTGGAGAGAGGAGAACCTTCCAAAAGAACTCCATCAATCAGGCCTGAATGGTAGAGTGGCCAGGTGGAAGCCACTCCTCAGTAAAAGGCACACGACAGCCCACCTGGAGTTTGCCAAAAATGCACCTGAAGAATTCTCAAATCAAAGATTGAACAAAGATTGAACTCTTTGGCCTGAAAGGCAAGCGTCATGTCTGGAGGAAACCAGGCACCACTCATCACCTGGCCAATACCATCCCTACAGTGAAGCATGGTGAATCCCGCATCATGCTGTGGGGATGTTTTTCAGCAGCAGGAACTGGGGACTAGTCAGGATTGAGGAAAAAAATGAATGCAGCAATGTAGCAGACATCTTGATGAAAACCTGATCCAGAGCACTCTGGACCTCAGACTGGGGCGAAGGTTCATCTTCCAACAGGACAACGACCCTAAGCACACAGCCAAGATAACAAAGGAGTGGCTACATGACAACTCTGTGGATGTCCTTGAGCGGCCCAGCCAGAGCCCAGACTTGAACCCGATTGAACATCTCTGGAGAGATCTGACAATGCCTGTGCACTGACGCTCCCCATCCAACCTGATGGAGCTTGAGAGGTCCTGCAAAGAAGAATGGGAGAAACTGTCCAAAAATAGGTGTGTCAAGCTTGTAGCATCATACTCAAAAAGACTGTAATTGGTGCCAAAGGTGCTTCAACAAAGTATTCAGCAAAGGCTGTGAATACTTGTTTAAATGCGCTTTTTATAAAATAAAGTTTTTTATTTTAAATAAATTTGCAAAGATTTCAAATAAACTTCTTTTATGTTGTCATTATGGGGTATTGTTTGTAGAATTTTTAAGAAAATAATGAATTTAATCCATTTTGGAATAAGGCTGTGCGATAACAAAATGTGGGAAAAGTGAAGCGCTGTGAATACTTTCTGGACGCACTGTATGGTTGTATGTGTGTGTGTGTGTATATATATATATATATGATAATGGTCTCAGTTTTGTCCATGTTCAGTTTTAAAAAGTTGAAGTTAAGCCATCCTTTTATTTCATTTACACATGCTTATAGTGGACTGGTCTGGTCTGGAGCGTGGAAGCAGATCTAGAGCCAGATATGTTCACAAGTACCTGATGTCCAAGTCAAGTCTTAAGTTTCTGAGGTGGAGTCCAAGTCAAGTCTCAAGACTTTGTTCTATTTTTAGCAATAGTTCTTTCACTTTACCATCCGTTGTAAGTGCTTTGGAGGGCTAAAAGTTCTGGCACTCAAAAATTATAGTCAATTGGAACAAAATTCTTACGTCTTAAGTTTATTGGAAATTCAGTATGAAGCAATCTTACAGCATGACTAGCTTCATTAATCTCCCTTCAAAGTGCCCTTCA